CTGATATATATTATATCTCTCTTAAAAATTTATTTTATATATAATATATATATATATATATATATATATATATATATATATATATATATATATAGTTCCTTCCATATTTATCAGCAACCTTGATAAAGAAACTAAAGGTTTTAAAATAAATACAATGTTTTTAGTACAGCAGCATAATCTTACACTGAAATACAATTAGATACCTTTAATCTCTGTTGTTTTTGTACATTTATCAGCTATCAGGTCAAATAATTACTTTGAAATCAATGGGATTTTTTAAAAATAATTTTCCTTTTTTTAAAGTTGATTTGAGTTTTTTGAAATTTCTAATTAGATATCAAGAGCTTTCATTATTCATTCAGGGTTTTTCTATAGTTTTTTTGTGAATTATTTTTATTTTTTTTGTGCAATCAAAACATTGGAGAGACTTTCGAAATATGTTAAAAACTATTTCCAAAATATACATGTAGAAGAAAAGAGGGATAAAGAAAATAACAAGCAGACTTACTGGAGACACAAACTTTTCCATCTGTCTTTAAATAACTTCTTGGTTAATTGCTACATCGATCATTTGACAGCTGCTGAGGCAAAGGCAGCAGAGGAAATGCTGCCACCTGCAGGTGGGAGTTGGCATCACTTAAGCCCAATGTTTTTGACCATTTTTGGAAAAGAATCACAAAAAATTTACAGTGATGTTGGTGTGAAAAATCTGTTGACTTTGCATGAATTTCTGTGATCTCAGATTCAGAAAAACTGGAGGGACTGAAATGTTGTTCTTTGGGAGCCTTTTCCGTCTTCTGGTTTATAAACTCTCCTTACTTTAACTAGGAAATATGACCCAAATTTGAATTAAAACTTTTTGTCCATATTCAACCCACATCCATAGTCTGAATGGCAAAATTCTGATCTTTTCACCCAGAGAGAGAATTATTTATTTTCCCAATTCAAAATGTCTCAGCTTTAAGATCAGTAGCTGCGTTTCCATTACAACTGTGTGCAAAATTTTGTAGGTATTCTTATTAATACAAAAACACAATTTTGTAATTGTGGTATGTCCATTAAATAAGAAATGAAATTAAAATCACATGTGAGTAAATTTGGTGCGATAAGTCATTAAAAATCATCCTCCTCTTATCACATCCTGTTGTCTTCTTTGGCGTTTCCACCAGTAGTAACATCCTGTTGTTCATCACGACTCGTTTATTGTGAAAAAAGTATTTTTATTGCAGATTTGGTGCAAAATCTTTTCATTGGAAAAGGCTAGATTTCTTCAAAATCGGTATGTTTTTATTAATCAAATTTATTTTCAGAATTCAAATTTACGGGATTTTATGGCTAATGGAAACGCAGCTACTGAAGAAACACAATTCATGTTGAGGCATTTTAGACATTTTAACATTTGATAACCAAAACTTTGATAAAATGTATGTTGTAATCCGGGCGTAGGGAGTAAATTTACCAAAAATAAAGAGAGTAGTGAAACTTTCTGAAGTGTTTTTATGAAAATGGCCGACTCACTCCCACATATGTAAACAACGGAAGCTAAAGCTAACAGCTGTTTTATTCTGACTTCCTGTCCAGTCCCCATCCTTTCTCCCTCCTCCGCCACCTTCTTCCTCCCACCACCATCATCATCATCATCAGCGGTCCGTCTCCCAATTCTTCCCCACGTCGCGCTTCGGCTCCGACCTTGTAAGCCACTATCTGTCTGAGATTAAGACTACAATACCCAGAATCCCTCAGAACATGAGAGGTTTGAGGAGAGGGGTGAGACAAGACGAGTCCATGAGTTTGAAACCGGTTTGTTTTTATTTCTGTTTTCATTTATCGTTTCTTTTCAGGATGTCTGCAAGAACAGGTTCAGATTTTCTATAAAACGTCTCAAATGTTGCGACATCCTAAACTGGATTATGACGGTTTAATATAGGGGTGTCCAAAGTGCGGCCAGGGGGCCATTTGTGGCCCTTGTACTGATTTTGTGTGGCCCTCATCTGTAATTCAAAAATGATGCAAATTTGGAGACTTTTAATTTGTAATTTTCTTACAATGGAAAATGTAAAGTACAACAGAAAGTGTTTGTCTTTTTATAACCGAGTTTTAACAAAATGTAAAATCATGTTTATGATGCACCCAGATCAGTTTTTATTTAATTTATTAAGCTTTACTAACTGTGACAGACGATGTGAAAGAAAATGACCCAAATCCTGTTTCTATTACTGAAATAAATTTGTTCAATGGAGCCGAAAAGGTGCAAAATTTACAAAGGCATATTTTGGCCATTGTACATATAAAGAAAAATAAAAAAATAGAGTAGCAAATTTCCAAAATAAAAAATGTTGAGTAATCAGAAATTTTCTGAAATAAAATTTTGCATTTTTGAGTTTAAAATGGTGAAAATTTTTAACTTTTGAAACTCAGAAAATTCTGAAAGTTGAACATTTTTGACATTTTTTCTAGAAAATTTCTGAGATGAATCCCAGTTTCTGAGTTTTTAGTGGAAACTTACTTTATTATTATTATTTATCTACAATGGCAATACAGTTTTGAAACTACAATAAATATCCATAAAAAAATCAGGTTTCTGTATTTGCCTGATTTTTGTTTTTTGGCCTTCGGTTACTTTTGCCTCAACAATTTTGGCCCACATGACAAACAGCAGCTAACGTAACAGCTTGCAGACATCTTGTTTTTTCTTGTTTTCCTCTTTTCTTTTTGATTCATTTTGTTGTTTTTGTGTGATTTTGTCTGGAAGACGGAGGTTTGCTCCAATCAGAGCCGCGGATCCCTGGTGGCTGACGGTGTGTTGCTGGTTTTTGGGTTGATGTTTGCTGTGTTTTTGGTTCGCTGCTGCATGTGGAGAGGCGATAAACAAACAAACGTTAATTTAGAGATGTTGGTTTGGCTTCAGCCTGCGGTTCTGTTTGTGTGTGCTAACACGTCTGAAAGCTGAGAAAACGGCTCTGAGCCTCAGATGGTTCAGCATAAACTGGTGAATAACAGTCAGACTCGGCGCCAAGAGAAATCTGGGACTGGATGATTTTCATGGCTGCAAAAAATAGTTTTTATTACATTAAAATATGCAATTAAACAAATAATCCTTTTTTTTAAATAAGAAACATTTTTATACCTCAAAATGAACAACATTCATGCAGTGAACGCTAAAGCAAAGGATGAACCTGCAGCTAGAAGAGCTCAGCCGTCTCTGCTCGGCTTATTACAGCTGATTTATTCATTATTTTTTGGATTAATCAATTAATAATTAGCAAAAAGTTCTTATAATAGATTTTTTCTTTTGTTTTTAACAGAATTTTAATCAGTTGAAGCTAAAACAGCCACTTGGGAAGTTCTGTGTAGAAAATGGCATGTCTTTGAGTCTGTATACTCTAGTTAACGATTAATCAATTATTTCAATTAATCGATTAATCATTGTTAATCATTTCAGCCCAAATATTATTATTACATCTCTAATAATAAATGCTTTTTAAATTATTTACATCATTTGGTTGTTTTTTAATGTTTTTAAATGCAAATAATGTTTTTTTTAACTCAAGTTTCTGAATATTTAGCAACCTGGCTCAAATCTGAACAAAACCGATTAATTTGTTTTTGTTCATGTTTTTCACTGAAAACTAATCAGAATGTTTCTTTTCTTTAACGGTTAACGCTCAGTGGTCGGCCAAGATGGTGAGTCAGTGTGTAAAGTAGTAGGAACTCCATTAGTGTCGACACAACCCCAGTAGAGACCCAGCAGTAGGAACTCCGTTAGTGTCGATACACCACCAGTAGATCCAGAGATTCAGTAGCTGCTGCACCAAGGTTAGAATAGTTCCCCTGTAAAACAGGCACACAAAGTGTTTTATGTGTCAAACTAAAACAATAATTTGCAGAAATAATACTTTATTCACCTATAAAGGAGTCCTGCATTATAAAACTTTACAGCAAGGGTGTCCAAAGTGCGGCATGGGGGCCATTTGCCGCCTCTGGATTGATTTAGTGTGACCCATAATTGAGACAAATTTGGTTTCAAAAACTTTTACCTTTTCTTTCAATTGGGATAAAACTATGGCACACAAATTGAAATCTTCTGACTAAAATGTCAGATTCAACACAAAATATTCACCTGCTAATAACCATTTTTTCTGCTTTTCCTTTAATTTCATGATACATTGGTCTAAGCGTGTCACTATATGAAAGTCTTTTTTCTTGAGACTCCAAAGAATAAAAATGGATCACAAATATTTAAGCTTCTCGACAGTCTCAGCACTCCATACATGAAAAGATAAACAGCAGATGATTTTGGCCCATGTTGCAGAAAGTTTGCACACCCCTTTACATCCTAACTGTCCTGACAGAACTAATTAAATCATTTTTACGTGTTTAAACCAAACTTCTGAAACTATTGGTGTATTTTAGTGTGCTGAACTGGCGCAGAGTTACCAGATACAACACATTTATGTCTGTGTCTTTTAAAAATTTACATTTTAAGTCAATTCTGTTGTGTTTCTGTATCTGTGTGGCTCATACTAAACCTCAGGTATCAGAAGTGTGGAAATGGACCTTCGTGTTCCTGTGTGTATACACTAACACTGCCTGTAGCGTTTTCTAATTATTTGTCCTAATGGTGTTTTCTGATCGGCAGGTTCCGTCTCTGGAGGATTTCAGCCATTTGCCTCCTGAGCAGAGGAGGAAGCGGCTGCAGCAGAAGATCGACGAACTGAACCGGGAGCTGCAAAAGGAAACGGATCAGAGGTGAGAGGTCGCCAGCCAAGGCGTCGGGAGGAGCTGCAGGTCCGGCTGCTGAACCTGTTCGTTTCTGTCAGGGACGCCTTGAACAAGATGAAGGACGTGTACGAGAAGAACCCGCAGATGGGCGACCCCAACAGCCTGCAGCCCAAAATCTCTGAGACCAACTGCAACATCCAGAAGCTGCGCTCAGAAATCCACAAAAACGAGGTTTGACGGTTTTTTCTGGACGATAAATTCTTCTAAAAGTAGGGATGCACCGATTTACTGGCTGGATGGTTTCCTTAATTTTGGAGGATCGATGATCAGCTGATGGTTGTATGTGAAGCTGGTCTTATCCACCGATCTCATCTTCCTCAGTAAACGTTTAAAATCAGCCTCTGTGCTCCTCTGTTCTGCTGCGAGAGGTTCGCCTGACAGACCGGCCCACCGGGTCACGTCTGAACCTTAACAACAGTCACCCACTGTTAAGTCACTTTCTTGCAATATTTAGTGACAAAATTTCAGATTTCAGACAAAAAAATTGGTGGTAGCAAAAATAAGAAGGCTTTTAAAAAATTGGTAATTGGTGATCGGCCTGAAAACTGCAATCGGTGCTGCAATAAACAACAACGTTGTTTTGAGACCATTTTCATGTAATATTACAGTAATAATAATGCAAGAACACATTCTCAACAATCAGTAAACTTTAATTTCTAATGAACATTTAACACTGGAGCTGGAATACTTTTACATATCCAAGACAAATAAAACAACAGATGAAATGGATTATGAAGTCCGTATAAACAAAACTGTCCTTCAAAATGAGGAGAAGAATGAAAACTTTAATCATCCAGTTTTTGGTAGAAAGAGAAAAATAATAAATCATACAAATGAAAATTCCTTAGTTCGTTTTAATTTTTTGTGCTATTAACTGATTTATTGCGACCAGTTGTTTGTTTGTGATGGTGGAATATGACGAACAGCTGATCTAAATCATTCTGGTGGTTCTGTGTGCAGACGTGGCTGTCGGAGGTGGAGGGGAAGCAGAGCTCCAGAGGAGACCGACGGCACAGCGCAGACAACCACCACCACACGCCTCACGGCAGGGAGAGGTGACCAGCCAGCCGCCTACCTCTGAGGGCTGATTAATCACCATTAATCAATTAAATAATCCTCAACTAACTTAGTCATCGATTAATCTGGAGTTTACAAAGTCAAAATAAAAAAACAGGCAATTTGCTGAAAACAAGTCAGAGCAATAATTAACCAAAACTGTACAAAAATATAAACATTTTGCATTTTAAGATAACAGAAAATGTATATGTTCTACACTGAAACTCCTTAAGCAGCAGTTTTAGCTTCAGTCGGTTCAAATACTGTAGAAAAAATGCTATTTAGCACATTTGCTACCCAATTTTTGATCAACGAGTCCAAGAACTAATCACCAGATCAGCCTTGATCTCACATGTTGATGTCAGGATATTTGTATCTGTAGATTCCTCCTTTGCTATAAATGATCAAGTGTCACATAGTAGGCAATAAAATGTTTTTTTGAAAAATGAAGGGAATTATTTATTTTTTGCATCTTTTAATGTATTTCTAATACAGTATAAAAAGGTTTAAACTGTTAAATAAAAAATATTTTTTTGGTAATTGATTACTAAACAAGTTGACGATTATTTCAATAATCGATTAATCTGATTATTTGTTTCAGTAATAGTTCCCAGAAACTCTGGACAGTATAACAAAGAGCCAATGTGCTGCTTTTGATTAAATTAAGATTTTTACCCCCTTTTTATAGCATTTAATTTGAAGGATTTGATTTTAGTAGAAATATTTGAATAAATCCATTTAAATTAAAAGTAGAGGTTTTTAAATATTTTTTATTGCATTTTTGAGTGGGGACAAGCGTTAAGATGGACCATTAACAACGTAAAGGCAATAAAACAACATTAAATAAATTGAAATCATAATATTAACTTAAAACAGACCACATGTTTAAAAAATTATATAAAATTTAATATTTCTAATTTATCTCCACAAAAAGACTTTAATTGCAAAAGTAAATCACAAAAACAATCATAAAATAAAAGATGTTCAGTATTTATAAATGTACACACAGCTATTTATTAATACTATTTTTCATCAGTACGTCCTGGAACAACCGGCCCTTTAAGAACATCCCTGATCCAGATCAGCTGTTTTTTCCTTTTATCCAGCTCTCCTGCTGTTTAAATTAAATTTTTTTGTTTCCCATCAGCCCTGAGGGCAGCTACAATGACGACACCAACCAGGAGCATCAGACGCCGCATCGCACGCCGCAGCACCGCCCCGCGCAGCCGGCCCAACCCAACCACGACCCGCACGAGTTCGACGACGAGTTCGACGACGACGACCCGCTGCCCGTCATCGGACACTGCAAGGCGCTCTACTCCTTCGACGGTAACTGCTGCAGTGCTTAGCTTCGCCACCAGGGGGCGCGGCCGTTTTCTGAGTAATGTTTTGTTCAGATCAGGAAGCGGATCGGCGGAAGTTGTGGTTAGAAGGCCTGTAATATTCTTTCTCGAAATGTTGAATAAACATTAATGTTGTTTCCACATATCATCTCCGATGTCCGCTGGACTTCGGGTTGCACCGTGTCAGCTGTTTGGGATTCCCCTCCGTAATTTCCCCTCAGAAAGCAGGAGGAGAATCCGGCTTTCTGATTGGCTACCTGTCACATTCAGCGTTAAAGCTCCCAGTCGGGGAAAACCCTTGATTTAGATCGGAGCGGCCACGACGATCTAAATCACACAACAGGACGATCGGTTACGAAATCACCGGCGACAATCTTAGATCGGCCAACTTTCTAAGATTGTTGTAAAGGGAAAATAGGGGCAAAACATCGTGTAGTGTGAACTATTGCATTAGGTAGTCGGATGTGCCCATCTTCTCCATTTAAATCTAGTGATTACTGAAGGGCAATATAGTATACAGACTTCATAATCTGCACTCTTGGTTGAATGCAGTATTTATTTCCACTTTGGCTTTATGTAGTTTAGTTTTTATTCAAGTACGTTTTCTTGTTAATGGAGACTGAGAATCCATTTTATTTTTGTCTTTGGCTGTTTTGTTTAATTTAGTTTATCAGTTCCAGTGTTATGTGTTCTTTTGAAAATAAAGAGTATCTATGGCAGGAAATCGCATGCATTATTAGTCATTTCCATTAAATCAGTGTCAAAAG